TTCGATTTATAGCATTATATCGCTATAACGCTATACTGGAACTTCAAACTCCAATGGGATCGCTATTGCGATCATTTGAAGTTCCGGTATAGCGTTATATCGCTATAACGCTATAAACCGAACTTTAAAAAAATCGATCACCCGCGCGGGAAGAGAACGGCGGGAAAACAAAGCGGTGCAAGTCTGAAATGCCAAACCGCTTCTGATCCGGCTCATTTCCGGTAGGGGCAAGCCATGTGTGAAATGGCAGCCCTGTAGCGGTTCACTTCAAAACGGATGATTACCGGCTTGAAACCGGATGAAACTGGGTAATGTGAAATTCCCCATAGTTTTTGTTAAATCTCTTTCATAAGAACAGTCTGTTACTCTACCTGGGTCCTCACGCCTCATGTGGTCATGTACAAGGAGGAACCTCCTGGAAAAGGAGTGCGTAAAGGGGCCGGGTGGTTGCTCTGGGCCCTCCCAAAGAGACCCACACCAGAGTGGTGGCAGCAAGGAGAGAACCCCTCTCGCCGCTGCCCGTGACGGGAGGGCAGAGCAAAGTACAGGGGAAATGGGACATTTGCCAAATCCTGCGAGGCCATGAGGGTAGGGTTGCCAAGTCTTACCTTGGCTTTAGCGGGGGGAGTCCTGGTAGTCGCCGGGAGTCTCCCTGTGATCTCATACAGGAGCTTATTCCCTATTAAGGCAAATCAGATGTCCCTGGGGCTGGGGACTACCAGAAGTTGTTGGTTTGTAGATAGTGCTCTACGGGGCTCATATGGGGAGAGGCGGTCCCGAAGGTATGCTGCCCCTGGCTGTATAGGGCTCTAACGGTAAACACCAGCCCCTTGAAACAGATCCAGTATTCCATAGGCAGCCAGTGCCGTTGACGCAGCGCTGGGCGGATGTGAACCCACACAGGCATTGCCGTCAACACCCATGCTGCCGCGTTCTGCACTAGCTGCAACTTCCAGAGCAGAGTCAAGGGCAGCCCCGCGTAGAGAGAGTTACAGTAGTCCAGCCTGCATGGAGGACGGGCTGACTGGGAGCATAGTTCTGGCAGAGCTTTTGCTGCTGGGGGGGGGACGACACACAGCAGAAACTTTCACAATATCTTCCTTTGGGAAGAGTGCCTGCTCTTAAAACCTAATTGGAGAAGTCTACCCATCCAGATAATGAAACTGAAGCTCAAATACTTTGGCCACCCAATGAGAAGGGAGCACTCACTGGAGAAGAAGGCCCTGATGCTGGGAAAGATTGAAGGTCAAAGAAGACGGGGACGGCAAAGGATGAGATGGTCAGACAGTGTCATCGATGCAACGGACATGAAATTGAGCGAACTTCAGAGGACAGCAGAAGACAGGAGGGCCTGGCGTGATCTGGTCCATGGGGTCGCAAAGAGTTGGACTCGACTGTGCAACTGAACAACAAAAAACCCAGCCTGTTGCATGAGGATATTTCTATTTGCAATGCCGTGCCATCTCTGTGTAGCCCAACGGTGCCGGGTGAGACACCCTTATCTTTGCCGACCAGCAGCGATGCGTGTGCGAATGCCTCATCCACTGTACAGAGAGCAGAATGTCTACATGAGATCGCTTGGGGTCTCTCTTTGGGAGAGATTGGTGTGCGCGCGCACTGGATGGCGGGGGGGCGGTCTGGAACATTCAGCAGTATTTGTTTGTAAAGGCACTTGCTCTGAGCATAATACTTGCACTAACTTCTATTGAGGGAACAGTGTGAGTCCCCGCAAAGTCCTTTCCCAAAGTGTCTTTGAAGCCAAGAACCCATTGAAAGGAAGAAAGCCCCGAAGAGGGGATTAGTTTGTTCAGCAGCTGTGAATTTCAGTGGGAGGCTGATGAACTCCAAAGTCTTTGTTTAATTTTTTCTTCCCCTCTCCCCCCCCCTTGTAAATGGCCCGGTTGGAGTGAGAGACCCACGGCACTAAACAAGGGGGACTCCGAGCCGCAAGGATTTTTCCCAAACACTTTTGGAAAAAGGTGTTGTAAAGAGAGCCGTGGGGATTAGCATGTGAAATGGACTTTCCATTGACTCCGTCAGAGGGAGGGGGGAGGCCGGTGGGTGTCTCGGGTATTAGACTTTTGTTCCCCTCATTTCGCCCTCCCACTCGGGGCCCGTTGAAGAGGTTTTGATTGGGAGGCAGCTGCTCCGGTGTTGTCTTGTATGGGGGTGACCACCTGGGAAGTCCA